CTGGATCCAAGCTGGCTCTCGCCCCAGTGCAGGGCCCACCCCTTGTGTGGTGCACTGGGTGGGTTGCAAAGAGCAGCTCCAAATCCAGGCTGTGGGGGAGAGTTAGGCCCACAGCACTGAAAGCATCCCCAGGGCAGTGGTGCTTTAGGGATGGAGAGCTGGAAAAGGTCAAGGCCAATCCCTTCCCAGCGAGCTGCATGCCAGGACCTGGCATCACTTCCATCTTTGCTGGGATGAAGACAAAGAGAGGCCACCAATCCTTGGGGCGTCCTAGCGAGCTCTGAAAGAGCTTGAAAGGATTAGCAGAAAGGAAAAGAGAAAACACCAAAGTGAACATCAGACCCACTTAATTGCCAGAGATGAAGGACCAGCTCAAAGCCCGAATTGCTCCATAACAGCACCACTCCTGACAGCACAAAACAATTAGCTGCAAGGTTTTGGCTTTATTTGAAAAGATAATGAGTTGGGAATGTTAGAGGGGTTATTCCGGGACTAGGAAAACAAGCCTTTAATTGGGCCCATATGAATTCTGTCGCGTATGTGCTGCGACTTTGCTGCGGGGGAGCCGAGGCAGCCGGCTACCAGCGCTGGGAAAAGCAGCTGCATCCCATCAGGGATGCGGGAAGCGCTGCCGGGAGAGGGGGACAGAGCCACTGCCAGCCCACCCGGAGGTGACGAGAAGGGGCTCAGCTGGGCTGTGCCACCCTCGCCTTGTGCCTGTCCCCTCCCTCAGAGCGCTGGTGGCAGCGGGGGTGGCCCTGTCCTGCACCCCGAGCCTGGCAGGCGCCGGTTCCCAGACAGCGCTGTCCCCGGAGGGTTTCTACCAAAACAGCGAGGTCGGGGCCGTCACCTCCCGGGGCAGCTTGCTCTGGGAGAGGAAGGGAAGGCAGGGCTGTGTCAATAAACCACCCCTGCCCCAAGCGGCCCCGCATGAGGGGAGGGGATGGCCGCGCTGGGGCAGCCCCGTTTTGGTGCCTCCAGCTGGGGTGGAGCAGATTCACTTTCCTGAGGAATTTTCGTGAGAGGAGAAATTTGGCTGATTAAAAAGGCTGTCTGAGAATTTTCATGTGCTGTTCCCAGACAGGCTTTTTAATCAGCCAATTTCTCCTAAGGAAAAAAAAAAAAAAATTATCCAGAAAATAACACAGGCTGGCTGTCTCCTCTTTGCTGCTCAGGTGTGACATGTCCCAAAGCCAGATGTGCTGCTGGACAGCAATGCTGGGAATGGTGCAGAAGCAGCACCAGGACCCCTGGGTGCTCTCCCAGCTGTGCACCTGCCTTCCCTGAGCCCAAACTGCAGCTTGTACTGCTCTGGAGCTCCAAGAAGAGAATTCTGGAGATGAGGAAAAGAGCATGTGGGACACTCATGTCACCTACATGTCCTGTCATCTCTAGTCCTACAGGAAAATCAGAGCCACAGACACAGATAATGCCTGATTTAGACACTCCAAAACGAACCATTGGCATTCAGATTGCTTCCTGAGGAGCCCTGGAGTCTGCTGCCTTTGCAAGCCACGGATATTTTGAGTTCCTTCCTGACATCTGACAGGGCAAATACAAGAGCTGTGGACACTTGGGATGATCGACCAGCTGCGAGCCCACTGCACCATAACAGCATGGCTGGAACCTCACAGAGAGAGAGAGATTTAAAGGAGCATAATCTAATTAACGCCAATCAACAACACACAGGTAAACACGGGTCTTGTCCAAGTCATCCCATGTCTTATTTAATAAGCTCCCCAGGCAACCACGCTGCAGAACTTACAAGAGGTGTGAGTGAGCAAGACAGGCAGGCTGAGGGGACACACTGCATGGGATGGAACACCCAATTACTTGGTGGAGCTCAGGGGCAAGGACTCAGCCCAGGTTGCATTGCAGGGGACTGAAGTTGGGCTTTTTCTGCTTAACCCGAGTGAAAGCATTGAGGCAGCAATAAAAACATCTGTGGCTGGGACAAGAACAGGGCCTGGCAATTGTGGGAAAGGTCAGACAACGACATGCCAAGCACCAAGATGGTATTTTTTAGCATGGCAAGATAAAGGAGCCGTGTAGGAAGAAGGGTAGAATGGCAGAGGATGCTCCAGCTCATGAGGGGCTGTAGGGCTGGAAGATGAGCTCGGTGCAGTGCTTGAGCCTTGGCTGTGTTAACAGAGACAGACACAGCAGGGCAGTCACAGGGACTGGGCTCCACTGGAAACCCAAGTGTGGGGTCCAAGAAACACCACAGAGGAGCCTGGGAAGAGCTGGAAGAAGGACAGAGAATGGGAAAGCAGCCGCGGGGCTTGCAGAGCCCGCACATGTGGCTGTGCACAGCTGGGACTGGTGGCCACAAAGTCGCCTGGCGGCGGCAGCAGTTCAGCCACACAGGCTGCATTCGGGTGGTCTGTGCCCCGGGTCACCCACACACGGACTGGGGACAACCTGACAGCCTGCGCTGGGTGGGCAAGAGGCTGGATAATGCCCTCAGGGCTGGCAGGAGCAGGGAGTGAGGTTGGCAGAGTCCTCCAGCATCGCTCCTGGTGCCGAGCCCCAGCCCGGGGACAGGAGCAGATGTCCTTCCCCTTGCAGGGGGCTGGGAAAGCAGCGACCTCCACCCAGCCAGGCAGGCACAGACCCTCCACGGCCACCCCGACCACGCTGGGTCCCACCAGCACGGCTCAGTGCCACACTGACACTGGGCTGTCCCCTCAATCCCCTCACCGGTGCCACCCCAACACTCGGCTGTGCCCTCATCGGTACCACCCCGACACTCATCCGTCCCCTCACCGGCTCCAGCCGCAGCCCCTCCACTACCCGCCTTCGGCATGCAGATGGCAGGAGACTGCAGAGAATGAAGATTTTACAGCGCTGGCCAACAGCCAGGAGAGTTTAGATGGCAGGAAAATGTTATAAAACCTTTTTAAAATGCCAGGCATGCCCCATGGGTTTAAGCACCCTCCAGGTGGGCGGCTTGCACGGTATTTAAAACACAGAGGGTTTGATGCCAGCTGGGGAAACCTACTGGGATTGCACGGTGTGTCTGGAGCTCGGCACCCTGAGACACACCAGGCACCCCGAGCAACGCACGGGGGTGAGACAGGAGGGGCTTGGCACCCACGGCAGCCACCCTCCCCGGGCAGGGCTCTCCAGGGTAGGAAGCATCCCGCCTCCTGCTCCTCAGGCTTCCAAAATCAGGGAAAAAAACATCCTGGGGTGAAGGGGGGAGGAGCACTCCGGGCATGGCTGGGAAACAGCACAGACAGGCACAGCTCCTGGCATTCCGGGCAAGGCTGATGGGGTCAAT